GATAGATGGACGGATAGAAGGATGGAAGGATGATGGATAGATAGAAGGACGGATAGACAGATGGACGGATGGAAGGATGATGGATGGATGGATGGATGGATGGATAGATGGATGGATGGATGGATGGATGGATAGATGGATAGATGGATGGATGGATAGATGGATAGATGGATAGATGGATGGATAGATGGATAGATGGATAGATGGATAGATGGATAGATGGATGGATGGATGGATAGATGGATAGATGGATAGATGGATAGATAGATGGATGGGTTTCTGCCATAGTTGCTGTGGCATTAGATTAAATGATATTTTCCCTGCAGACAGACAAGCAAACCAAACAAATATCAATATAGAATGCTGTGAAATAACCAAGGTATAGATCAAAAAATAAAAATGTGGTCAATTTTTAATGTAGCAGTATTTGATGTAGTGCACTGTGTGCGGAAGCTCTCTGGCAGTAAAGGAGCGCTGAATATTAATGAGAGAATAATACTGCACATATAGAATTGGCTGGAGAAGCCCTGTCGAGACCCTTTCCTCTACAAGGAGAATAAAAGAGAATAAAGCCATTATAAATTATTCTCTGCTTAGCTCAGGAGAGAGCGGAGAGGCATGCCACACATTTTACACCAACAGACACACAAGCATTTAAAACTGACCGTACTCAGCAGTTATGCGCTGGTGTGTGTCTGTGTCTGTCAAAACCTTGCACATGTCAAAACAAGAATAAAACACACATGAGCGCTGCTGTGCCAAAACTCGATGTCTTCGGCTGATTTTCCCATAGGGGTCGATGCATTTTTAGACATCTAAACATACATTTTTAATGGCTTGGCTTCCCCTCAGGGGTCATGAAATATTTATTGAACGCAGAATACAGTGTCACAGCCGTCAATTACCGGGATGGATCACAATTACTGCACAATTGGAAGCAATATGGAGGAGGGATTCCGATGTTAATTTGAATTTAAAGAGCTAATGTAGACCCGCCTTCACCCTGCTTCGACACACACATTTCCCTTCCCCCCCCACTTACACACACACACACACACACACACACACACACCAACATGGCATTAACATTTCAGGCGCTCTGCTAATGCCGTTGTCCAGGGCGCCTATATTTAATTAATTCCAGTATTCTTTGCAGCAACGCCAAAACATTTGAGTAAATATCAACAAAATGATTTATTCAAGGATGCTTCCACAGCTCTGGACTGACAAACCCCAAATTTGGGGAACAACAATGTGGCCTTTCAGCTAAAGAACAGCCGTCGTAAGCCACCCGGCCCCACCCCAAATATCACAATGTTAGCATCTCTTGTCTCCACTTGGTGCATTTTTCAAGTGAGTTAGGCAGAAACCCTCTGCAGCTCATTTTTAATCCTCCTCAATACCATGAATAAACATATATATCAGAAATGTATTCTATGTCTGTATCATATGAGTTTGTTAAATAAATGTGGATGCAGGTTTTTTGTGAACAGCACAAAAGATGACTCAGTTTCATTGCAGAGCAATTTAAAAGTGGCGTTGGACGCCCTGAAATATTGGCCATAAATCTGCCCACCACAACCTCCCAGGAATATCCCACCAGCTGTCTCTGCCATGTATACAGTAAGTCTCTATTGTGGTTGTGTGGCCATTAGCTCATGCATTACAGTATTGCCAAAGCACAATGCTTTGTTCTCATCTTCAAGTAAAACCACAAAATATGGCCAGAATGAGCTCGCACTGAGACACAATAACAACCTGACTAATAAAAATCTATACTTGAAAGATTGTTTGTGAGGGTCCAAAGCCGATTAGCCCAATATCCAATAGATAAACAGGCCCACTCACCACTGACAGGATGACCACAATGTATCGCAGGCTGCAGGGAAGCAATAACATCCATCCCAAAGAAGATGAGTGGAGCCGGTTCATCTCCACATAAGAGTTATATGAGGTCACACCCTTACACATATAGGTTAAGGCTGTAAGAAAGGATCTGGATCAAACTGGATGAAGGCATCACAGGGAAGGCTATGGAGTCATAACGTTACGGTCCACAGAAGGGATCATTTTGGGAATACACATTATTTTTAATTAAGTTTTCTCAATTTATTTTTCAATTAATCTGTCACTTCAGTTTTTACTTTTAAGCGAAACTCAATTTTACACATGAAAATCTGATTATTCTTCATAAGGAGTACAGGATCTCAGAAAAAGACGAAAATTAAATGCATTGTGGAAAACATAAAGCATACAGTGATTTTGCAGCTTTAAGGCCTTTGCACACCAGGGGGCGTGAAGAATAGACGAGACAAAAATGCAAAATACTCGCCTGCGAATATTTCACGCTATTCACACTGGCAAGGATGCGAATTTTGCGACAGTTGCAGCACTTATTGAAGAACAGTTTTGAATAGATGCAGGCGGGCAGAGTACCAACTACCAGGCTCCCATTGACCCAGAGCAGCGTCTGGCAGTCTGTCTGAGGTTAACTGTTATTTAGCCTTTGCTACTGGAAAATATGTTATCGAGTTTGCTTTCAGCAAAATGCTTTGATTTGAGGTCCCTCTGGTAAAGATTACATAGTGTACTGTATATGTCTAGGGCTTTTATTGTGAAATGTAAGAACGGTACGCTCTGTCTTTGTCAAGATTGCCGTCTTGGTTCGAACAACAGAACCTCCCTATTTGTAAGCTTTGAGTATATCCGCCACACATAACGTGGTTGATGCCTTTATTTGCGGAACGAAAGCTATGACGATGTTGCTCTTTCACCACGTAATATTTGTGTTCCATGTGAAAGTATTCACGACAAAAACAACAGCTGGGAAAAAAATATATTGACGTGCAAATCAATCGCAAGAAAAATAGACGCCTCCGGTGACTAAAGGCCTTTACCCACAAGACCGGATATCTCAGCCATCGTTGCATCGATTGCAGACATTATTTTATAATCCGTCTTTCATAAGTCCTCTAACTTAATAGAAGCGCAACACTAAACTGCTGGAGTGGCAATCCTTTGCCTCATGCCAACAGGCAGCCTCTGCTAGCATGTCACATTTACAATGCACATCCAGAGGGTCAAACCTCATCCTGCTCTACACTCTGCAGGGTGGATCAGGCGAGCACAAAGCCACAGCGGTGTATCAAGGTGAATTCGAGCCACCTTTTCATCATTCTAAAAATATAAACTGCTCTTGTCATTTAATGGGCCCACATTTTCTCTGTGTATTTGGAAACCCACTGGTAGAACAAGGGGCCATAGTTGTGGAATTGTTATAAACAACATGACAAGTGAGGAGAAAATAAGAAAAAGATGCCAAAAGCTTTGAATCATCCATTTAGATTTGTCACAATCCAACAGGTTCGGGAGAGAAATCAAGACAGACTGCAGTCCAGCTGATTTGTACTGCCGTCAATCAGTCCCAAAGGAGATACGCTGGAGTACGAAGACAAGGAAGGCAAGGATATCACTCAGCAGCATTAGGCCTCGGAGAGAACAAAGAGCATTTCTCTAGAAAAGTCTGCATAGGAAAGAAAACCTGGATGGGCCTCTGAGAGAGGGACTCTCCTTCAAGGACGGACAGGAGATAGAAAGAATTAATAAAGTAAAGGGAGTTTTACAAAAAAAGTATAATAAGAAAAAAAGATTATATTGATTTCACATATTTCACATATTTCAAAAAAGTAAATATGCTCATATGCTTGACAGTCCAGGGTGCGTTTCAAGGTCTGGAAAAGTTTCAACCTCTGTTTTTTGGCAACATCAAGACAACAGCTTTCCCCCACCAATATGCACAGTGTGTGAGGTAGTGTGAACATGTACTGTGTGTATGTGTGTGTGTGTGTTTGTGGGACCCACCTAGCACGGTGACAGTAGCTCGGGTGGTGCGGACCGGCATGGTGAAGATGGAGCAGGTGTACTCGCCCTCGTCGGACAGCTGCACGTCGGCGATGGTTATGGAAAGCTCGGTGGGTGTCGAGTGGTGCAGCTGGATGCGGTTATCTCTCAGCGCTGAAGGAAGAAGAGGAACAGGATATCAATATTTAGAAATGTGCATATATAATTGATCAGCTTTATGAATAAGAGATATAAGTTGTATAAGGTATGATTCATCTATTTACTATATTTGATTTTCAGGATCTTTTTTTTGCTTTTAACTTTTCTAACTTTACTAGTAATCCATTTTAAATTTTCTTAATATTGCAATGGATTTCGAACAGTTTTCTCATATTTGCGGTGTACAAGTGTCTCGTCACAATAAAGAGGAGGAGAGAGAAAATAAAAGGAGGAGGAAGAGGAGGCAGAGAAAGGAGGCAGAGTACGAGTCAGGTAGAAGGGACAGAAAGACCGTTGAGATGGGGGGAAAGAAAGAACAAAAAGTGGCAGACAAGATGAGGGCTTGACGGAAGGGGGAGTTGGGGGAGGAGAGAGGAGAGAGCCGGGCAGGGGGGGAGGGAGAAGGAATGCAACATAAGAAGGAAGGGGGGGGGGGAAGGAGAAAGAGATAAGAAGGAAACATGAGAGGATGTAAGGATTTAGAAAAGGAGGTGGTAGAGAGATGGGAAGGGAAAGGACCATGACGGATGGATAAAAGAAATCAGGTGAAGTAGGGAGGAAGATGACAGGAGGGTGCAAAGAGGTGAGACAGTAGGGAGGTAAAAGGGATGATAGGATTGGAGGGTAGAAAAGGCGAAAGAGAAAGATGTAGAAAGGACATAAGAAAAGGTTGAAAGAGGGAGAAAAGGGGAGGAGGAGAGGGAAATGTTGAGAAGGGAAAAACATGACAGAAAGTATGACAAAGAAAGGAAGGAAAGAAATGATAAAGGAGCGTGATTAGCGAGAATCTGAAAGGCACAAGTTGGAGAAAGAAACAATGACATGAAAAAGGAGAAGTAGTGAAAAAAATAAGGCAGGTGGGAAGAGAGTAAGAAAGCATGAAAAAGAGGGCGACCAAGGTTGGGGAGGGCAGAGCGAGAGGGAAAGAGGAAAGTAGGAAAGATGATGTGCTGAATTTAAATCATGAGAAAGAGAAAGGTAAAATGGAAAGGAGGGGGGAGCGGGGGGAGATGTTTGGAGAGAAAATGATGTAAGAGGGAAAGAGAGGAGGAGGAGGAGGAGGAGGAGTGAGGAAGACGAGGTGAGAGAGAGAGAGGAGAAAAAAATAGCCGAGATGTGAGCGCGAACAAGGCAAAGAGAGACAGAGAGGGGAGTAAAGAGAGGAGACGCAAATTAAGAATGAGAGACAAGAGAAAGTGTGAGAGAGAGAAAAAAAACTGCAAAATAAAACAGAGGAAGAATAAATAGCAAGGAGAATAAGGGAGAGGCAGTGGGAATGGGTAGGGGAGGAGGGAGGAGGGAGGAGGGAGGCGGGGGAGAAACATAAGAGAGACATAAATGGCTTTGTCATCAATGAGAAATCCAGCCATGAAAGGGGGAGAGAGAAGCACAAGCGACCGAGATAGATGATGATGAAATGCTACGAAATAACCCGCTCGTTTCCGTGATAGCACTGACCTCTACGGTTGTTTGTGCGGTGTGATTGCTGTCTGTCTCCCTGCGCTCCTATCTGCCTGTCTGTCTCAACGTCTATCTGTCTTTCTATCTCTGGCTGTCTGTCTGTCTGTCTCGGTAAAAGCTTTTCAGCTTTGTTCTCTGGCGCCACCATGCAGAGTTGGCTCCCCGCAAATAATGACTTAACGTATAACAAGGAAGCAGATACCTGCAGAAAAAAAGAAAAAACTATTGCGGTCAAGTAAAGTGAATAGTTCTATAGATCTGTTCGCACATTCACGGTCGTTTTAAGTTACCGTGGGCATTACTTTTGTCTTTTCCCTGGCGTCCAGCTATATTTTAGGTATTGTTAGCTGGAGTCAGAGACTGTATATAAAAGAGGATGTAGTCACTGTTACACCACCCACTGGTTGGTGGATCACAGTTTTAAAGCCTCGAATTTGACCTTTCGGTTGTCGCCATCTTGTTTTTTTGGAACCAGAAGTGACACAAGAGGGTGAACAAGACGTTTTTTTATATGACCGAAATGTCACAATTAACTTCCATGTACTGAAAACACACTGTTAAAGGGTTAAAGTTGAAAGACGAAAACAACTCCCAGACGAGACAACGCTGTGGTAGTGACAATGTTAAGAACTAGCAATTGAGACTATAAACTCATGTTTATAATGTTCATTGAGGTCATAAACCCAGTTGTAAAGTAGGGTCATTTAATCAAGAGACTTCTGTACAATCTGATTTATTTCTACAACCAGAGAAGGTCTTAGAGAAGTGCACTTCCACTTTGCCTTCCCTTTTCAGAACCGGAGGTTACCGCCTGGTTGTACTGGAGGTAGACGTAGCCACAGGGGAGGCTTCTGAAGGCCCGATGTGACACGCTTGTGTGGGGAGTCTGCGCAGGTTTGCTCTCTCTTCCCGGCAGTTTATTCTAACTGAAAATGGATGGGTCGGGTCAAGTTCTAGATCTGGTGTAGATGGTTTTGTTAACGATAATACAACCCTGGTCAGCACCTGGTTCTTGGCAATAACAGAGACAATACAAGGCAGCCAGCTAACGCGCTAGCTAACTTGTTGCAGTACTTTTTTTGTGTGATGTCTATTTGATTGTCAAATTTGCTTTAAATCTTTTGTTTCTTGTAACAGCGCAAATGTCCAAAAGTGTTAGTCTCTCCTACTGTAACAACAGTAATACATCCTTCTGACAAATGAAATATCATGTCTTTAGCTAGCTAGCCAGCAGGCTAATTCTTAAAGAATTCAATGCAGATTAGTTCCGTCAGCTCTTTTCTCATTCCTCAACATGTCATCTTATTCTGAAAATCTTTGTGTATTGTGTGGGCGACTCCAAATATGTGTGGGCGTGTGTGTAGTTTAATAGTGCGTTATGATCGCTGTCTGTTTTCATATCTTATTGTTTATTTGCCTCTCTCAGTATTGAGCCACATCTGTGTCTGTTTGTCTCCTCATCTTTTTCTGTCTCAATATTATATCCCTGTCTCTCCATCTTCCCATCTGTCTGTTCACCTGTCTATCTCTATTGCACACGCACACACACGCATGCGCACGCACGCACACGCACACACACACACACACACACACACACACACACACACCTCTGTTTCTGTTGGTGTTTTTCAGTTATTTCATCCAACACTACTTTATCTCCATGCCTTATCACAAAGCAAGGTCACTACATTTGTCTTCATGAGCTACCCTCTTTGTGTGGGTGTGTGTGTGTGTGTGTCTGTATGTGAGGCATACGGTCACTCACTCACACACACACACACACAAACAAACACACACACACACACACACACACACACACACACACACACACACACA